CTGAGAGGAGTCATGGCCTTGGAATCTGGTAACATGGGACCTGATTTATAAGCAGGATGCATGGATTTTACAGTGCAAGTGTAGAGTGTCCCTCTCTCTCTCTCTCTCTCTCTCTCCATATCAGCAATGGCTCCTCTGTAGGTATCCAGGATGACAGGATTCAGAGTTGAGACTGTTCACACTTCACTGTGACTACAACTTATATTCATTTAAAGGTGAAGTCACCATAGGGCTGCTCTCTCATTAGAGGGAGATGACTGGTAGTGGTTTTAACCTGGGAGTCAGGCAAGGGTTGAGGTTCATACAGCAAAACCTTCACAGTAACCTCAGCACGGATGGGAAACAACGCTGTTGTTGTCACGCTGTATTGTACACCAACCATCCAGCCAACTGAGCTAAGTAAACCCACCCTCATATTCACGGAGCATATTTAACATAGTAAAATGCCACATTTGCAGGAGTGTTATCAAACATAACGTGACTTATAAAGGAGATAATAGGGCAAGCTATCAAACACTTAATCAAAAAGATAGGGTTTAAGGACGCTCTTAAAACAAAGAGAGAGAGATGGAGAGGTCTAAGGAGAGAATCACAGAGCTTGTAGGAAGGAAATTTGCAGTTGACACAATAATTGGCTGTGTAGTTAATTGAGAAGGGGATAGCTGTTAAAGAAGTGGATAGCTATTAAGTGGGCGAAGAATTGACAAACGAACTTCAATCTGGAGGAGTATGAAGAAATGCATTTGGGAAGAACAAACAAAGCAAGGGAGTACACAATAAATGGGAGAATATTGAGAGGTGTAGAGGAAGTGACAGACTTTAGAATGCTTGCCCATTGATCCTTGAAGGTGGCGGGACAGGTAGCTAAAATGGTGCAGAAAACGTACGAAATACTTTCGTTTATCGAATGAGGTATTGATGACAAAGGGAGGACTGCAAACTGTGTAAAACACTGGTTAGCCCACAGCTTAGTAGCCATTAAGTTTATTTTTTCAAAAATTAAAACTGCCTTGAGTAGATTCAAACTCCATTTTAAGAAATCTGGGCTCTCAGAACCTAGGTTAGCTGAATTTATTTTGAGAAACTTTTGACTTTTGTAAATGTTTATCTTGCAAGTGCGGATGTCCCAAAATGCTACAGACCACCTTCCATGTAGCAACAAACACAAATACTTGACCTGCATTTTTGGAAATCATACGTGAAACAACAAGTGAAATGAGACTGAGCAATGTATGAATCGGGAGCAGGAGTAGGCCATTTCAACCCCATGAATCTGCTCTGCCACATTCAATAAACGCCAATCCATTTTCGCACCGAGCCCTGATAACCTTTTAGCTGGGATCTGCTATTCAGGTGATGGAAATTTGGAAGTAGTAACTGAGTTGTTGAGCTCGAGTCATAATCATTGGCTCAAGTTATTTTAGGCAGCTTGCCATGTTTCATCTTCAGTTCTCTACAACACATGCAAATATTCCTTACAGTGAGTACCCGATTAAACATGCACACACCTCCAATTCAGGACTGATGTAGTCCTTTCCCACAGCCCATAACCTTGTTCCCCACGGTCTTATAAATAGTTTTGTTCAGTGAAATTAAATCACTTTGTGTTGGCAGTCAGCAAGTTCTCTTGTCAGTCTTGAGGTCAGGAAGACAATGTTCTTGGCCATATCTGTCTGTGAAGAAACATCTCCCTCCCTGCAAATCTGTCAGCCAATATCTACGAAGTGCCAGAGGAAAATAAATGGCCCGCATTATTGGTTCGACTCTCTTGTGAAGGTTAACGGTGAGAACTGCTGCTGTGACCCAGTCTTGGCCTGTAGCAGCGAGCTTTGATTAAGCTCTCGCTGCTGGGAAAGTAAATTAGTTTAACATTGCTGTGCCGTGCCGGGTGAGAAATGATGGAGCCCAGCATTATATGACAGGAACACAATGTGTGAAGTGTTGCTCAGGCTGTGAGACAGGAATCTTCACCTCCCCCCACTGAAAACATCCCCAACCACCTAACAACCCTTCACATACCAGCAGCTAATAGAGACACAGGAGTAAGCAGCTATAATATTCAAAATGACCACACCACCACAACGCAGGCCAGAGTGACACAAAAGCAGAGTCTATATTTTGGAAGAGAAGAATCTCAGGCAACCAGGGGATGAAGGGAAAGGGAGGAATAATCATTCCAGAACCTAACATTAGCGATGTTATTTATTTCAGTTTTTTTTCCTCAATCGATCGCATTGTTTGCAGCCTCTGCAAAACCATGATGTGTTCTGTGAATGATCAATGAGGCTAGGGGTGACACGGCGGCTCATTGGTTAGCACTGCTGCCTCACAGCGCCAGGGACCTGGGTTTGATTCCACCCTTAGGCACCTGTCTGCATGGAGTTTGCACATTCTCCCCATGTCTGCGAGGGTTTTTTTCCCAGGTATTCCAGTTTCCTCCCACAGTCCAAAGATGTGCAGGTTAAGTGGATTAGCCATGGGAAATGCAGGGTTTCACAGATAGGATCATGGGGTGGGTCTGGGTGGAATGGTCGGTGCAGACTCAATAGGCTGAATGGCCTCTTTCTGTACCATAGGGATTCTAATGGTTTCTGCCCACCTTAAAAAGGCCACAGAGGAGCTCTGTGTTACCTGCAAACAAGTCGTCAGTTGTAATCTAAGTATGAGTAGTGGAGGCAGCTCCTGTATGATTGTTGAGGCCTATTTGGTCTAAGGTCCTATTTTAAAGGGCCTGTCTGTTGGATTTGCTTTCCTAGTTCCGGAGTGAACTTCACGCAGTTAGCTCAGAACACAAACAGGAAATTTCCTTCAGGTGGGCAGGAGCATACCCTGAAGCAATACATACAAGCCTTATTGTCAAGTGGGCACACAGTTAGCAAATGAGGCCACTCTAGTTTTGTTCCTCTAGTTTTCTCTCCGTCATCTCCTGAAGATATCAGAGTCAGAGTCACTCAGCAGAAAAACAGGCCCTTCAGCCCACTATGTCTATGCTGACCAATAAACACAAGCTTCCTGTTGGGAGCTCTGGGCTGAATGGAGATTCCATTGGTGTTGGAAGGGCTAGCCACACAAGAGGCTGTTAGGTTACAGACGCAACACAGTCCGTTCTGTATGATTCTCTTCAGTTTCATTTTAAATAACGTAATATGTCTGGCCCCTCCCAAAAATTTTGAAATCCATTCTTCTGCTGGCCTCTGGTCAGAAGACCAGCACTGTGCTGTTCTGAGCTATCGTGCTGCAATCATTTTCTTTTCCCATTGTAATTGCTCACTCCAGACACCAACAACAATCATTTGGCTCCGACCTTTTTCCGAGAACCATTCTTTAATGTTTCGGGTCCCAGTGCAGCAATTTGCCTGCTGTAGTTAGGCTGGTTTGATCATTGATAAGGGATAAGAATTTGGCAAACCTCCCTTAAAATTAGTGAATGTTGGAGTTGTCAGAACCTTGAAAACTTGCAAAATCAGTGGAGCCTGCTTTTTAAGTCTCCTGTCCGATGGTCAAGCTATCGAAATGGGATTGAGCCAAGGATTCAATGTGTGAATCATTCTTTTAAGCAGCAACACATGGCAACGTAGAAAACAGGAGCAGGAGTAGGCCATTCAGCCCTTTGATCGTGCTCCACCATTCCATGTGAGCATCCATTTCTGCTCCCCGTTCCCAGTTTCTCCCCATACCCATTGATCCCTCTAGCTCTAAGAATTATATCTAACCCCTTCTTGAAAATATTCAATGTTTCATCCTCACCGTCTTACTGTAGCAGGGAATTCCACAGGCTCACCGCTCTCTGGGTGAAGAAATTTCTCTTCATCTTCGTCCTAAATGGCCTAACTCCTCTCCTTAGCCTGTAACATTAGTCTGGACTCCACAGTCACTAGGAACATCCTTCCTGTGTTTACCCTGTCTAGTCGTGTTAGAACTTTAAAGGTTTCTATGAGATCTTCTCGTTCTTCTAAATTTCACTGAATATAGTCCAAACTGATCCAATTTCTCTTTGCATGTCAGTCCTGCCATCCCGAGAATCAGTCTAGTAAATCTTTATTGGACTCCCTACATAGCCAGAACATCCATTCAGGAGAGATAACGAAAGCAAAGCTACACACAACACTCCAAGTGTGGTCTCACCAAGGCCTCTTTCAACTGCAGCAGGACATCCATGTTCCCAGAATCCTCTGGGGACGTGGGCTCAAATCTCAACTTGGCAGATGAAATCAATAAAATCTGGAATAAAAGCTAGACAAATGGAGACCATGTGACTGATGGTTAACGTAAAAACTCACCCTTTAGAGAAAGTCTTTATCTGGTCTGGCCTACATATGACTCCAGACCTGGAGCAATGTTTTGACTGACAAATGGGTAATAAATATTCCATGGGTGAATAAAAATACACAAAAGCATAATTTGGTAGGTATTGAGAAAGCCTTTAAATTGAAGCACCCGTCCCTTGTATCATTTCTGTACATTCCTCTGCACTGTTGTCAAAGTAGTAACACAGCATCATTTTGGTGACCTCCATTTTTACAGTAGAGTATTTTAGAGTATAGGTTGCCTCAAGGTGTTTTCATATAGAAGAATCCAGGTTGGGAATAACAGAAAATATAGTTTTGTGAAGGATCCCTGGGGAGAAAGCAGAGACGTTTCTAAAATCTTTTGGAAGAATGGGCTCAGGGAACTGAAGATTCTATCACTAATGGTCAAGGGGCACAGAGGCCAGAGTCAGTGGGCCAAAGTGCAGAGGGGATGGTTGTCATGGCAATCCGCCAGTATGGGAGTGAGTGAAGAGTGTATCTTATTGCAGGCAGCACTGGACTTCACCGAGTGGAAGCCAAGAGTGCTAGAGAAGGTGGGTCTGGAGAGTAAGGGCTGCCAGAGAATTCCTTCTGCAACACTTTCTTTGTGATTCAATCCATGCAGCCTAAGTAACTGAGCTCTGCGTTACTGTGTAGTGTCAGCCGTCGATATAATCCATCATCATCTTTCTTATCTGTTGGTGTTTTCAGGAGCTCCGTACTGGGCCCGGCCGGACCGAATGGAGAAGAGACTTCATGCAGTGCCAGCGGCTAACACTGTTCGCTTCCGGTGCCCTGCCGCAGGAAACCCCACTCCCACCATCCACTGGCTGAAGAACGGCAAAGAATTCAAGGGCGAGCACCGCATCGGGGGCATCAAGGTGAGTGATTCCTCCTGAACAGCCTCATTGTGTCAGCCTTCAACCAATGGCAGTGCCTCTCCACCTCCGCTCCACCCCCACCCATCCCCCTACCCCCGACAAAGTCACAGTTGGTCATGTGACAAATGAGGCCAAAGGGCAAAGGTTTATCCAACGTTAGTCAGATCATTCCGGGTCCACAGCCTTGTCCTCGGACAAAGTTAGTTGCAAGAAGGAATCCTCCTCACTCAGGGACTATCTCGGGGGCCAGTAGCCGGTCGCACTGTCACAGTCAATGGGATGCTGGGTCATGTGGTGGAGTGAGCATTAAAACTGCGAGGCAGACCACAGGCTGCTGTACGTGGAACCTTTCAGCACATACCAGCTGACCACAGGGCGCCAGACCTTCAGAGAAATGTCAGATAAGATCTTCCATCAAAAACGTGGGAATCGTCCCAGAAACATTCCATCCCCGTCTGGTTGCCCAGAGTCTGACGTGCGGGCTTAGTGACTCCTGTCAATATTTTGACATGATTGGATGACACTCATTGTGATGGAGTTTGACTTTCCAACATGGGTGTGTAGAAGGGGCATCGTGCACTGAGTAAACAGTCTGTCAGGGCATCAGTCTGTACTGGGTCACCTCCCTACCGGAAGGATTTGATAGCACTAGAAGGGGTACAGAGGAGGTTCACCAGGATGTTGCTGATGATAGAAAAATTGAGCTATAAAGAGAGACTAGGTAGGTTTGGATTGTTTTCTTTACAGCAGAGAAGACTGAGGGGCGGACATGACTGAGGTGTATAGGATTATGAGGGGTATGGACAGGATGAGTAGACAGCAGCTGTTCCCGTTGATTAAGGTGTCAATCATGAGAGGGTATGGTTTCAGAGTAAGGGGCAGGAGATTCAGAGGAGATTTGGGAAAAAAAAATCTTTTTTCACTTACTGGGTGGTAGGAATCTGGAAAGCACTGTCTGAGAAGGTAACAGAGGCTGGAAATCTTACAACCTTTAAAAAATATTTGCATGAGTACTTCAAATATCAATACATTCAGAGGTATACAAGTGCAGGAAATTGGGATTAGCAGACTTTAAGTGATAGTATTGTCGGACTCGATGGGCCAAAGGGCTTTTTCAGCGCTGTATGAATCTATGGTCTCACTGCAGCAGATGAATCGTAAGGTAAAACTGAAGCACCAGCAGTTGGGATTGAGCTGCCCTTGTCTAAGTGAAACGAGGGTCCCTACAGTTTAGAGATCCCGTTTACTCTCTGCAGCTAATTCAATGTGGAACATTGTGGGCCTTCACTCCCATTTCACAATTAAAAATCCTGTTTCATGCTTTAAAACTGCCATCAGAAAGGAACAAAAGGGCCTTGCTTCCATTGTTGATTAGCAGATTGTGTGAAGTGAGCTTTAAGATATTAACGGATCTTTCACCCCAGTTCCAAGGCAATTGATCTAGTCCAAACCTTTACGAATAACCCTGGGCTCTTCTTCAGCTGGCCTAGAGGCTATGGCTGAATTAAGCTGGGGAGAGTACTCATTAACTGCATTTTCCTTTCTCTGACACAACGTGGGTTGGGATAGGAGTAGGTATTATGTGGTGAGGGGTCTCAGATAGGGAGGACACATTCCATGGGGTAGGAATCCCTCCCAGAACCCACCCTCTCCATTTATTCAAAAGTGACCAACTTCGAGAAGATAGGACAGGGTCGATGATAGCTCCATTCAGCAACATCCTGCTTTACCTTGTCATGGCCACCTTCAGTGATAGAGAAATCAGTCAATGTTCCCTCTTACTTCAGTGTTCTCCCCTGGAGATTGGAAAAGCCATGCAGACTCACTCCCCGTCCATTATTCCTGGTGAATAAGCTCACACCTTTTAAAGAACAGAAAATGGAAAAATAGCAAAAACACAACAGCCACTAAAAAGAATCACCCTTTTAGTTTTAGCTCTTAACCTAGTAAAGAAACTAAATTACCATGTACACTAACATTAAATACTCTTTGGTCTTGTTAAAATTATCTAAACATACTGCCTGTTCAATAGCATTGCACATAAACTAAAATGTCAGGTTGGTTTTCAGTCTAAAATTCCACTTTAAAGCAGCTTTCAAATCCTTTCAGGAATCTGCAATGTTTTATAATCCTTCTAAAGCCCATGTGACATTGCATGCTTAACCGCATGAATAAAAGGCTTGTTTTAATCCTTTACCAACCAAGAAAGCCAACAATTGTCCTGCAAACTGTAATAAATGTGTCCAAATGTGTTTCTGCTCTTTACTCCCTACTCTTTCTAAACAGCAGTACAAAGGTGCTAACTTTAATCCCTAATCGGGCTTTCCTGAATCTGCTGACTGTTTGCTGCGGTGCACGCCTCTGGGTGCTGATGGCTTACTAGTTTCCCTACCCAAATGGACAATCCTCATTTTTGAATCTAGACCTCTTGCGCTACTGGGCTATCGGTACTCACAGCCAAGTGTGGTTCTATCCATACCCATATGCCCCTTTCCACTAGGAAAACTGGATTGCAAACATGACTGTGGTAATGAAACAAAACCATACCAGAGCAAGTCCTATGGACTCCTGTCTCCGATGCCAGCAGTGTTTACTGAGGACGGGTAGAGATATTTGCAACTGCCACCTCTCCAGAAAGACTGAACTCTCATCCCCATTCCTCCCAACACCTCATGTAGTCAGTGTAAGTGACAACAAACCTTTGAGTCAGCTGAAATGGTCATTTGCTGCACTCACTTGTTTGACCATGTCCTCTGCAGCATTCAGGCATGAACTGTTCCTGAGAGCAGTTTTATATTGAGCGAGTGCTATCTATGTATTGTACTCCCTTAGTCAGTGACACTGTTTTAATGTATTTTCCCAGACCGCATGAACTTTTGGTGGGTCTCCAGTTAATGCTGAGAGCACAGTAATGGCTTCCTTCGCCTTCTGTTCAGCAATGGGACTCGTGGCTTTGAGCAGGAGCAATAAAAGGAAGAATAATAGATGGGGCAGTTAGGAATGTAACTGTTAACATTAATTTCAAGGGGGCTAGAATACAAGAGCGGAACTGTTCTGCTAAGTCTGTATAAGGTTCTTGTCAGACCGCATTTGGGATGTTGTGAGCAGTTTTGAGTCCTGTACCTAAGGAAGGATGTGCTGGTGTTGGAGGGGGTCAGAGGATGTTTACAAGAATGATCCTGGGGATGAAGGGCTTGTCATATGAGCAGCGGTTGAGGACTCTGGGGTCTGTACTTGGTGGAATTTAGAAATCTGAGTGGGGATCTGATTGAAACTTGCAGAATATTAAGAAGCCTGGACAGAGTGGATGTGGAGAAGATGTTTCCACTATTTGGAGAGACTAGGACCTGAGGGCACAGCTTCAGAATGAAGGGATAACCCTTTAGAGTTGAGATCAGGAGGAATTTCTTCAGCCGGAGGATGGTGAATCTGCAGAACTCATTGCCATAGAGGGCTGTGGAGGCCAAGTCATTGAATGTACTTAAGGCAGAGATAGATAGATTCTTGATTAGTAAAGGAATCCCGGGTTACGGGGGAAGGCAGGAGAATGGGGTTGAGAATCATATGTGCCATGATCAAATGGCAAAAAAGACTCGATGGGCTGAATGGCCTAATTCTGCTCCTGTATTTTATGGTCCAAAGGGAGGCTTTTTCCTGAAGGCTGGGTCTGGGACCACCATCAACTGTCCAATGCCTCAAAAAGCTCTTGAACTTCAAGAGTTTGCCTTTGCAAGAGATGGAAATCTGATAGGCAGCAGTCCTAAGGGTGGGCTAGCATGGATGGGGGCATTCAGTGGACAGTAATCCATCAGTGGGACCCAGAGAATGTTGGAGAAACTCAGCGGGCCTGGTGGCATTGACGGAGAGAGAAACAGAGTTAACGTTTCAAGTCCATTCATCTTCTGCCAAACTTCTGCAGAGACTTAATGGTGGCAGTGGGGGCTAGTGGCTGAACAATGGGGGAAGGGCATTGTCGCAGGTATGTGATGGAAATGGGAGGGAGGGGTTGTTGTGCTGGTAGGTTGAAAGCGGTGGTGTTTGTGATTGTAGGGGTTGGGGGGGAAGATGTATCATGTTGGCAAGGGTAAAGGAGGGTACCATGGCGATAGGATGGGACCGGGGTTATCATGGTGTGGTAGGGGGACAGTCTATCATGGGGTGGGAGGGAGGGGGGTAGTCTTGTCATGGGGACGCTAGCAGTAAGTTGGTGCTTTGCAAGTACGATCTTGATCCGCAGTTAGCTCTCTATTTCTATTAGAGAGGAGCGTTCAGAAAGCAGCAGGAATTCAGAGCCCTGGAGGAACCCACTGACCATCCTCTATCTGTTTCCTTTCTCTAGTTACGACACCAGCAGTGGAGTCTGGTCATGGAGAGTGTCGTCCCCTCAGACCGTGGCAACTACACATGCGTCGTCGAGAACAAATATGGCAGCATTAGCCACACCTACCAGCTGGACGTCCTCGGTAAGATGGCGCTTTTCAGACTGAGTGGGGGCTGCAAACGAGCGGTGGGTTGGAATCACAACTACAATATTAGGCCTGAGTCTGGTCAGAGTCATGGGTACATGTTCCAATCCCAGAAGTTTGTCTGGGTTGACACTCCCAAACAGCACTGAAGAGGTCACTCTATTTCGAAGAAGTGATGTTTCTCGGGTGAGATGTTAACCTGAGGTAGCACCTGCCTTTCAGGCAGCAAGACTGGTCATATATATCACTGTTATAGAGAGAGGAATAGGAAAATATATATATTATATATACACACATACATATGTATGTACATACATATATACACACACATATACACAATGCACACATTGGCTGCAGGACTTGCCTAACTCACAGTGTCTGAAAAGAATCTGTTGCTTGTAAAGTGCTTTCGGGATTCTGTGAGGATGTGACAAAGTGTTATATAAACACACGATCCTTCATTCTTTCTTTCTTGAGGCATTGTTTCTGTCATTGGCTAATACTTTCCTTTCCAATGGGCAGCCAAGGATGTTTCTGTAAAGTGACTAAACCTCAATAGTGATCTTGCCAGGGGACAACATCACAGCTATGCCTAACTCTGTCATTTGGACCACACCTAACCTTCCCGGAGTGAGCAGAGTAAGGGGGCCTTTGATTTTAGTTTCCACTTCTGAAACCAGAGGTGCACAGCCTTTTTATAGCACCTCTGTTGAGACAAGTTAACAGGGTGTGGATTATGAATAGAACTTGAACTTCTGAGCAAGATCTTCCAGCTGGCTTAATCAATGCCACCCATTCATTACTTGCACGCAAAGTCAGAATTGCCCCCAAGGATTGACATCAATGCTGAAATCAACCTTATTCTCTTTGTGGAGGCCAGTAAACACAAGGTACTGACAGTGACCTAACAGAAACAGCACCAGCTGCCAATCCTTTTAAAAAGAGTCTGGAGGAATATTGAGATGGGAACAATTTGGAGATTCTAGGAAGAGGAAAGTGCTGGGAAAACAGAGTACTGGATGGGGGAGGATGGATGGGAGGTTTGTTACTGTGGAAGGCAATAGGGCAGTGCTACTGAATGACCAAGATGGATGAATATTCTTAAAGTCTAGCTTGATTACCTTGGGGGAGCTGGGAGTATTTATTCAGGATTACCCCATGAGACATTAAATGGGATGAAGTGAGACCATAACATGAGACAGTATATGGTCTGTGAAAGGAGAGTACCCTGCGAACTGGGGGGGTACTTAATGATTGGAATTGAAGATGAAAGTAGAAGTTTTAAATTATGATGATTGTTATTGTGTAAAAAAAAACCCACAATAATTGCTTTTGTCTGTAACAACAACGATCTCTGGTACACTTAAAGGTAATTGTAGAAAATCCAATTGTAAAACTCTCCAGGGAATGGATAATAAATTGCTGAAGAATTGGTGGTCCATATCTACATCCGCTTGCATTGATTAGGGATTCAAATAGGATCACCTTTAGTAAGATGTCATTGTGCATTCAAACAAGCCCAATACCTCACAGTTAACCCATTGACTGCACAGAGAATATGAAGCCAAAGAGAAAAGGATTGAAAAGAGCCTTGGTTAATTGTCATTTAGAATTGAATTATGCATTTTCTCAACTAATTATCAGCTTTTGTTGAAATTTTTAATAAAATCAGGATCTTCTGTCAACTAAGTATTCCATTGTTGTCAGTGAAGTTCATATGTTTTATCAAGTATTAAAGCTGGAAGTAAATGCCGCAAACATTTCAACTACATGTTAGTCTTCAGAGAATGAAAGCCTTGCATTGAGGTGCTATCTTCAAGCTACAGGATATCCCAAAGCCCTTTTCAGCCAACAAAGTGTAGTCACTGCTGCATTGTAGGAAATGGTAGAGTCACTTGATACACAGCAAGCTCCCACAAACTGCAATGCGATAATGACCAGAAAATCTGTTTCACTGGACCCGAAATGTTAACTCTGTTTTTCCTTCACAGATGCTGCCAGACCTGCTGAGCTTTTCCCAGCAACTTCTGTTTTTGTTTCTGTTTCAGTAATGTTGGGCAGGGATAAATATTGACCAGGTCATTAGGGAGAACACATTTGCTCTTCTGCAAAGTGGTGCTGTGAGTTCTTTCACATCGACCCAAGATATCAGATGGGGTTTTGGAACACAGTACTTGGCTTTTGCCAAGTGGGTTGATATCAATCAGGACTCAGGGCTGCATTGAGGAAGGGAAAAACATCCAAGGTTCTTACTCCAGCTCACTGCCTGACAGCCCCAGTTGATTTTCAGGCACGTACTAAGGACAGGTAAGAGCAGATTCTGAGGAGGTAATGGTGAGGTTACAAAGGCTCAAATCCAGAGTTTTCTTTAGAATAGCTCACTGTTGGGGTGATCGTGTTAAATATAAATGGGTTGCAGTGGCGTTCACATATTAGTGAGTCAAATATCCAAGCTTCACGTTTGAGACATCTACCTGGGAGTGAGGAATGGCAGGGTGTATCACAGGATATTGGTGATTGGCTGAGTGGCAGGAGGATAAAAAGGATCATGGGAGCCAGGTTTTAACATTTATTCTGTCTAATAATCTCTGAGCATCATTAGTGTAACCACAGTGAGAGATGATCTTTAGTCTCCACTGTGCCCAAGAACTCAGGAACCTGCTGACCATTTGTAAGCATGACTGACCAAGGTCCATCCCTCACGGGCCTTGTGGAGGTGCTGGTGAACCTCTTACCAATTCAGATATGTAGGGAAAGTCTTGTTGTTTTAGCTGCTTTATATAACATGTTTATTCAGCATCTCATTAACGTTGGGAAAATGAGAAAAGAATTTATGATCCATGCTACTCCTTCATGTCTACATCTCCCTGATAAAAAAGACTTAATATTTAACATTCTGAAAATACATCAAAGGAGTAGCCAGACTTCATTGTAAAAATAATATGGCAGAATTGTGGATCATGCAGGAGTCTAATACTAACACTAGAAGCTGAATTTGGACCCAAACACTTCAGCTCCCTAATATATTCTTCCGGTTGGAGCTTGATTAAAAACTATGGTTATGCTGCTAACAGTGAAAAGAAGGTTGTGTGGTAACATTGGACACCGTAAAAGTTGATTTAAATTGAACGTAGTAAAAAGGGAATTAATATTTAAAATTACCTGTCACACTTGGTGAGATGCATGGTATGACATAATTAATTGCATCTTTAATCCAAAGTCACCTCTGTTGATAATTCCCACTTAACATTAACAGCAAATATTCAAAGCAATGTGGTTTGCCCTGTTGATTTGTTACATTACCTCATGCCAGCGTTAAATTTAAACCTTGCTTTATCTTGGGTCTTGCCTCTGTTGATCTCCATGGGAGCACCTTGCCAAATGTGCAGACTTCCCTCTGCTACTGTATATTGGCTCCGTTTAATGCAGTGTTTAATGGTCTGTTTAATGCAGTGGCCCAGCACAAGGTCCTTAAAACAAGGTGTCCTGATGCATGAGCCACTTGTAGTGAGCAACCACAATCACACTATACCTGTACTCTTGCTTTACTGTTCAACACCCATCGCTCTCAGCAACAAGCTACTAAACAAAATCAAGCATGTGTTTTGAGGAAGGGTCACCGGACCCAAAATATTAACTCTGATTTTTTCTTCACAGATGCTTCCAGGCCTTTCCAGCTTTTCCAGCAACTTCTGTTTTTGTTCCTGATGTACAGCATCCGCAGTTCTTTCGGTTTTTATCAAGCACCCCTTCATTTGAGTGAAGGAGAGTGTGCAGGCCCAGTACAACTTTCTAACCATTGAATAAAGTTGAGAATTTTATTAACAATTTCTGGAAGGGGTGCAGTTCAGACTGCCTGTCTTCTCTCTCAGATTGATGGTGTGACAGCAACCAAACCTTGAATAAGCTTGGACATTGAGAGCCTTAGGCTCACCATTTTTTTGGGAGTAACAACAATAACTTGCATTTACACTTGTATGAGACATTTTGGAGCCCTTTAACAAGAAGGAGAGGACAAGAACAGGAGAACAGGAAAGGACCAAGAGCACAGACTGAAGAACCAAAAGATAGATTTTGAAGGAAGAGGGAAAGCTGCTCAGTCAGGAGTGGTTTTGGTGATTAAAAGAGAAAATGCAAATGTGCAAATAAAACTGAAGCAGAAATGGAGCTTAGATGACTTAACTATCCAGTGGATCAGTGTTGTAGCAGTTGAAATCAGCTCCATTAGTGGCCTGGTCTTTTTTTTATATAATTTCACCCGTGATTTGTGAGCATCGCTGGCTGGCTGGTAAGAGGATTGATGGTCATAGAGGAAGGCTTTTAGAGGAGTCTTCAGGAAGGGGAGGGAAGCAGAGAGGTTTAAGGCGGGAAGTCAAGAGATTAGAGCCAAGATGGCCGAAGGGGAGAAGAAAGTCAAAGGTGCACAAGAGGCAGATGCTGGAGGAAAGTGCCATTCTCAAAGGGTTGTGGTTGTGGAGGAAGTTATACAGATAGATATACAAATTATTGCCTGTCCTTAATTGCTCTTGAGAAGGTGGTGGTGAGCTGCCTTCTTGAACCGCTGCAATCCATGTGCTGTAGGAAGACCCACAATGCACAGTAGGGAGAGAATTCCAGGATTTTGACCCAGCAGCTATGAAGGAACAGTGATATATTTCCAAGTCAGGATGGTGAGTGGCTTGGAGAGGAACTTGCGGGTAGTTGTGTTCCCATGTATCTGCTGCCCTTGTCCTTCTAAATGGAAGTGGTCGTGGGTTTGAAAGTGCTGTCTGAGGATCTTTACTGAATTTCTGCAGTGCATCTTGTAGATAGTGCACACTACTGCTGCTGAGTGTCAGTGGTGGAGAGAGTGGATGTTTGTGGAATCTGGTTGAGTGAAGAAAATATTCCTGAGAGTTTCATTCTCCTGGAATTGACCTGTGATTGTCTTCCTCAAGATCATGGTTTGAGCTCATAGTGCAGCAAGAGGACAGGGGAGGAAATGGTCAGATAGGCCAATTAACATTTCCAGTTCTATACTCATGATAACGCTGCCAGCAGTCTTTCTATATAGTGAGGAGAGAATGTCCATTCCGTTCCCTCCTCCAGTCGACCTTGCTTCCATCACCCTTTTCCTCATCTCAACAATCCTATATAACCCACATGCTGATTTTTTTTTTATTTGCTCATTGGATATGGGGCAATTCTGGGCTAAGCCAGCATTTATTGCCCATCCCTAATTGTCCAGAGGGTAGTTGAAAGTCAGCTGCATTGCTATGTGTCTGGAGTCACATGTAGGCCAGACCAGTTAAGGACCACAGCTATCCCTCGCGAAAGGATGTGAGTGGACCTATGGACGAATCTTGATAATCATTGTTCTATTCCAAATTGATGGTGTGCTCGTGACTTTGTTTTAACCTGAGATGTTTCCTTCGCTTTCAGAAAGGTCTCCACATCGGCCTATCCTCCAGGCTGGACTGCCTGCAAACCAGTCGGTGGTCGTGGGTAGTGATGTTGAATTCCACTGCAAGGTCTTCAGTGACGCACAGCCACATATCCAGTGGCTGAAGCACGTGGAGGTGAACGGCAGCAAACTGGGCCCGGATGGAGCTCCCTATGTCATGGTGCTGAAAGTAAGTGGCAGATTGATGCACAGTCCAACAGAGAAACATGACAGTCCCACTTGTCGGTATTCACAGACCCAAAGTGAAAATGTAATTATTAGCCACAAATGTTCAAGGGCGTCGACAGTGACTTGCATTTCCATAGCACCTTTAACATGAAAAGAAATCCCCGTGTGCGCCACACGAGCATCAAAAGACAGGGAGCTAACAAAAAAGGAGCTGGTAAGAGGATTCGAGACAACAAGGTGCAGAGCTGGAT